GTCCATTCACACACGGTCGACCGCTGCACAGCACCGGATTGACGCACTCGAGGTTATTCCTGTTTTACTTGTCATACATTGATCTTTACACACCTTAATTAGTTTTGCATTACTGAAATATCGGAGTGAAATATTGCAGGCCCGGCTGAAACAAGAAATGAGGCAACGTCAGGAGCTGGAGGCCGAGCGGGCCGAGCGGCAGGCCCAGGCGCAGAGGCTGACGAACATTACGGAGTTCCTACAAGGGCTTGGGCAACGTGTGGGCTTCTCTCTCTCAGCTGAGCTGTTGGTTCCACCTTCGCCTCCGCGTCCTGCAGCTGCAGCTTCTCCTGTGAGTATGAAAGCTTTTTACTTTCGCTTGTGCTTTGCTTGTATGGCCTCTACCTTTTTAAATTAGCTATCCAAATAATCTTGTCTCACATGCAATCTTTTCTCCTTTGTGCAGTCTCTATCTGATGGTGGTTCGAATAATCCACCTCATGCACCTCCGAATGATGGAGCTGGGCCTTCACCACAGTCGCAGTGCCTGAGATAAGTGCACATTGTATTTTTTTTATTTGTTGTTCACTTGGTGATGGACTTATGATATACTTGTGATGCACTTGTGGACTTTGATAGACTTGTGATGGATTTGTGAATTTATTTGGATGAACTTGAGCACTTATTATTATATATGTGATTTATATTGTGATGGATGTGATATGTGCGGATGGATGTGTGGATGGATGAGATATATATGAGATGAATGAGATATATATGTGATGGATGAGGTATATATGTGATATATGTTTGTATGAATTTATTTCTCATGATGAAATGTAAAAAAAATTAAAAATTGCTGTTTTGGGTCACTTAGGATCCTGTTGCCGAGTGCCATGGTCACAGTACTCGGCAAAGCTGAAAAAATGAGCGCTCGAAAAACCATTTTTCTAGCTTTGCCGAGTGCCATGACCATGGTACTCGGCAAAGATTTTTTTTTAAAAAAAAATTCAAACTTTGCCGAGCGCCGGCCACGGGGCACTCGGCAAAGAATTTTTAGAAAAAAAAATTAAAACATCTTTGCCGAGGGCCAGATAGATGACACTCAGCAAAGAAATTTTTTAAAAAAAAATAAAAAATTTTTGCCGAGTGCCTGCAGGGTTGGCACTCGGCAAAGCGACCGTCAACGGGGCCGGCGCCGTGACGGTCGCTTTTCTTTGACGAGTGTCGATAAAGACATTCGGCAAAGAGGGATTTGCCGATCAATTTTTTGTCGTGTGTTCTTTATCGAGTGCCGCACTCGATAAAGACTTTGCCGAGTGTAATTTGGCCTTTGTCGAGTGCCTCACCTGAATCCAGTAGTGGAAATTGATTATTCCCACTTTTCATCTTTCATTTGCATCTACCTCTAGTAAGTTCATTGATTCCTTTTCTCTTTTTCTTCTTCCACTAACAACCCATTTAGCATTCATTTTCTCTTTTATAAAAAATGTCTACAGACCATATTTACACTCATCCAATATAACCATACGGATTTCAAGCACGTCTAGGTGAAGTGGTGAACTGAAGTGCTAATATTTATGGACGTGCTTATGGGCTATCCCGAATATCATGTATCCAAGGTTACGATAGGTCTAGAAGATAAGGTTTTCCAAGAGCACAAATCTAATAACTAAGTACAATGGTCTCTATGTATGTGCAGATAACTTCTATTCTTGACAAACTAGCTCTGTCACGAATTGTGCTTTCTGATCAATGTTGATGCGTGTATGACTTGTGCGATTAAGGCACAAACTAAAATTAGTACTAGAATAAACCTACTAATTATTAGTTGAATGACTGCTAACTATTAGTTCCATTAGTAGGTTTATGGTTACTAATAAGTGCTAATAGTTTATATACACTTTGACTCATTATTCAACCATCCATTAGCAGATGGATCTAACACAATATCGTGCTAGCTAATTTTTAGTGCTAATGAATCTAAACATGCTCTAAGTTTGTCATTTTTTTTAGTGTGAAACATGTCCACTCAAATTAAGGATTCTACGCTACTCTCAAGAGCAAGGCTCCTCGTCAGACCAAAGGCATGTCTGCCAAGTCTATCGAGCTTAAATACACTAGTAGTGTGCCCGTGCTAACGCTATGGCAAAATACAAAACAAGATAAAATTCTAGAACAATATTGGTTTGTTGTTCCATTTAAATAAAGCAAAATTCTATTCATGTGAAGGTTCATAGCATGGATGATGTCAATGTCAATACATATTATCGTGTGATATGTTTTCTCCTGTTGCAACGCACGAGAATATTTACAAGGATAAATGGCAGATAAATAATTTTAGTATTGATATAGGAGAAGATGGCATATTGCAGGTTGGCCCAGCATATGCGCAGATTTTGCAGATATATGTCCATACATGGGGTACCTGCACATTAGACTTTTTTTAAAGAAAATTGGAATAATGTAATGCTAAATAATAATTTTAAACTTGGAGACGTGAAAAGTAAAATATACCAAGACGTGAATTTATGATGTTACAAAACTACAGTATCCTTTTTTCTATTAGGATGTTGGAACACATGTCAGATATATAGGGACATCATGGCAAGATTAAGAATCAACTTCGAAAATGGTAATATTAATGAGAGATTCAGTGGACAGAGGGCATATAAGTGGTTTGGGCTTATAAACTGTCATGTTAGATTGCTCCTCTTGGCGAGCCAAAATAAGTTAGCCTTGAAATACAGTTCAAAACAGAAGATAGCCAAACACACCTCTCTGGAGCTTTAAGTTTAGATAAACTCTCCACAAATGGCTATTACAAGGAGAAAAAGAGAAAAGACATCATGCATGTTGCCTAATGAACAGTCATATGGTTCCATGTCCATGGTAATCGTTTCTTGACTCAGGAAGAGAACATAAGCATTGATTTTGAAGACGAAAAAACCACAAGCAGAGTCCTTACCATAAGCCTGCACTTCCGCGGGCTGGAAACTGAAACCTCTTGTGGAGACACCGTCGCAAATGACGGCGTGTGCAGCCACCTGCAAATCAGCCACAGGCCCAAGTAGTAGCCACTAATATGCCATATTTTATCAATATCAAGAATAAGGAAGCAGAGCAATAGTATTTATTCAGCACCTTTTGTAGCACAGGAAAATGCACCTAGAAGTGACATCAGGTAGTGGACTTTTCTGAAACTCAAGCAGCAGAGCAATAGTATTTATTATTTGATATATCTAGCTCTTCTAGGAAGTTTTTTTTCAATAATTCCAGCATCCAGACATTTAGAACCCCTGTTTCATCGTGTGTAACAGAAATCATCACCATAAGCAAGTGACTGAAATTGTTGTAAATCAAATAATATAAGTTGAGGATGCACCATTCTATGAAGGCAAAAGAATAATCATGACTGAATATCAGATCAATTTGATAAACACATTTTCAGAAATGATCATGACTGAATGATCATCTCAATTTGACAAAAACAGATCAATACACAAGAGCTGCAGCTACCTAATGGCCACACTTGCGACTTGTTAGTCTCAAGCTACATGCTGATGTAGTAGAAATGAAAAGGCATGCTTATGGACCCCTTTAGTAAGCAAAATCATGTATAGTTAATTATCTGAATTCAGTTAACATTTTTTAATAAGAACTCACATTAATAAAATAATGGCAACATTGTTGAACTTATCTACATGAGGCTGAAAACAGAAGACAACTGGAAATGCTTATGGCTACATGAGGCTGAAAACAGAAGACAGTTGCATTGAAACCTTGGCAATTGGAAATGCTTATGAAGAGTCAAAAAACAACATGAATCATGTTGAATGGAAATAATTAAATCGCAAAATAACAGAAAATTGTGGCCATGGTAGCAGTTAGCTGCATGGAGAAAGAGAACAACATCAGATTCCTTTTTTATATATATAGAAAAGGATATTTCATTCTATCTCTTGTTAGTTTATTTAAATTCTAAACCGCCAGAGAAAAACTGGACTGTTAGTTCATATGACATAGCTAAGCATTGCCAACAGCTCCATTGTTTTGTTTTGAATTGGTAATTACTAAGAAAATGCTTAAAAAGTGTTCACTTCCCATTCAATAAACAATGTGAATCACATTCCCTGAAATCATCATGTTGTGAAGTGATCGGGGTCAATTAGTGCTCGACCATCCTATTGGAGTACACGAGTTTACAAGGTAACAAGCATATAATACGGATATGAAGAAATACTTATTTTCTTAGTTTTCTATATGCTACATAAAGAATCTTTGATAAGCAAAAAACTGCAAAATGCACCCAAACTTTTTTTAGTGTGAAACATGTCCACTCAAATTAAGGATTCTACGCTACTCTCAAGAGCAAGGCTCCTCGTCTGCCGAGTCTATCGAGCTTAAATACATGTGTTTAGACCTTGGACGTTTGATGTAGTGCTATATAGGCAGTGAAGGACATTTTCCATTTCTTTCAAGGATCTGTCATTTTCTTTACATTACAAAACGGCAAATGGTTTAAAAAGCCTCTTTTTTCATAAATCTTTGTATTTTTCTCTGTAATTTTGGTCAAACCTAAGATGATTTGACTCTCAAGATTCTTGAAATGATTTATAATTTGGAACGGAGGGAGTACATCTTTTTTAATAGGGATTGATTGATGCATTTCGTATTGAAAATTTGAAGGCAGCTAGAACACTTGACGTGAAAATAGGGTAACTCTATCAGAAGCTCTTGTTATTATAAGAAAAATCTGCTAACCTGGCTACTTGTCCTCTATAGTATAATGCTCGTGCTAACGCCACGGCGGCATTTCAAATATGCACGTCAAAACAACCAGATGTTTCTTAAAACTTTGTGGTAGATCACCAGTAAGAGATTTAAAGGAGAGATCTCTGTGGTACTCGCCGCACAGCTTTTGAAAACTACAACATACCGAAGTACTATTTGTTGCTAATTAAGTCATTCATGCAATTATACTAATTGCCTCTCTCAACTATACTAATTAAGCTCAATTTTTATACAAAGGCAGTCATTCGGCTAGCACGGAAAAAAATAAGTATTAAACTAAGCAGCACCTGTATAAACAAAAATAAAGTTATTATTTTCAAAACAGGATCATCAGATATTAACAATTAAGATGTGACAAAAAGTCTCTCTCAACTATAAGAATGGTGAATACGCATGAGGAGATAACAGGAGGCAAGTAGAGAATCTGTAGGCGCTAGGCGGCAGTCAAATACTGACATACAACAGCACCCAGACAATGTTCATTAGCAGCTGCAGTATCCTTTACTGAGCGCAACTCCTTCAATCACCAAAATATAAAGAGAAAAGATTAGATGGAAACAGTAATATTGCAATCATCTGCATGAGAAATTACCTTTTCCATGTAGGATACCCTTTGCTCCAGTTCAGAGATGCGTTCTTTGCTTCGCATCAAGGAGCTAGAAGATTCAGAAATCTCTCTTTCAAACTGAAACATGAAGGTTCAGCCAGCTTATGTGTTCTAAATCATATCTATCCATCATAAGTTAGATCACAAAAACTAACCACCATGAGTTAGATCACAAAGACTCACCTCAGCAATCCTTGCTGACATCCAAGCCTCCTCATCCATATTTGTTTCCTTATCAAGCCAAGTTCTTCACTTTTGCTTTCAGTTCTTCATCAAGCCAGAGATTGTGCTTTTCAAGCAGCTCCTTCTCCTGATAAAGAAAAGTAAACCCCATAAGAACCAACAGGTGCATCATGCAATGCAAACATATGGGTAAGGCTCAGTATTAGGCAGTATTAAAGCATCAAAGAGTAGAGATATGGCATGCCTATTTCGTTGGCAGTGATATGCATGGCCCCGTTCGTTTGGAGGAATCTGAATGAATCTGGAGGAATTTATGAGAGGGAAACATTGTTCCAGATGAAAAAAGAAGCGGATCAAGCCGGGTTTAAGGGCACGCGAACGGGGCCATGGTATTCGAACAGGGCCCCCAAAATCCTCGGGACAGCCCTGCCTTCGGCAATCAAGATACGATCCTTTCAATACTATATAATTGTTTCCATTTTGGTTTTGCAATATTTTGTATAGACTGCTCAAATGGATTAACTTGATACCTGCACTCACCAATGCAGTTGCTGGACCTAGTCACTTTTTAATTTGTACTGAACACTTTTGTTCCAAGGATGCAATAATCACCCTGCAATATTCATGTACACCACTATAAAGAAATAGATCAGAAAGCATGGCTACAAAACACCACTATACAGATTTTCACCATCGGATAAAACAAATTGTTTACCTTGTCGAAGATGATATATAATCATGCATTCATTGTTCAACAGAAAATTTAAAAGAAGCCAAATGAAGGTTCATGAAAAATAAATGTAGAATAGAAACACCAGGACATAGATAGATGATCAGTTTCTAGAAGGTCACACTGCAAATCATGGACAGAATAAATTCGTACCAAGTTTTGCATGATTTGATCTCATCAGTGAAGTTAATAACAACACGAAGGTTTCTTAGCCCCATCTAAGAATTTTATTAGCTTTTCAAAATGTTGCACTACTGCACTAAAAGTACCTGTGCTTTAATAGAGGAAAAAATAGAACATAATTACATATCAGGAAAAGAACACAAATTTATCTTCTTGCAACAGCACCTTCCTCCTTCAGTCTCCAAATGCACCATTGGTCTACAAACGCACATGTAGCTGAAATCTTTTAACATACAAGGCAAGAGCACACATATTTGAAATAATTAATAGATCTTGGCATCATTTGGCACAGCTAACCTGAAATGGTAAACTCCTTAAGTTGAAGCAGGTCCATCAAAAACATAATTTAAAGGTCCATCAAGAACATAATTTGTATAACCTGAACAGGGTAGAAGACTAATTAAGTTCTGTAAAGCACCGTTCTGTTGATCTGTATACAGGATAAGTATCTAAGATATTTCGGTAAAATAACGTGCTTTTTTGCAAATCTCAGTTGTATTCTAGCTCTCCCTGCGAGGCATGAAAGAATAATATCATGGGTCTTTCATCCGGTGTCTACCAAGTCAACAGAGGAGAAGAATGTGGATTTGAGAAAAATTACTTGATTTCTTGAAAAACATACGCATCTCTAGTACGCCTGCAAGACATGACCAAATCACATGGGATTTGCATCCCGTGACTACCAATCGTCAAATCGAGCGAGAGCAGTATGACAATTAGGCGAAATCACTTCATGGAGGCCTGGGTGAGGCGGCGCACCTCCCGGGCGGCGTCCACATCCACGGTGCGCACCTGGTCGACGAGCGCCCGAAGCGCCGCCGCCTCGGACGGTCGCTTCGCCACCGCCACCGTTGTCAGAGAGACGGGGGACGCCTTCCCAGAAGAGCACGTCTCCGGCGACACCATATCCATCGGTCGCATGACGCCGAATAGGTGCGCCGATAGGCGGAGCGCGCCAGCGTCGAGGCCCAGGACGTCGAGGTCGCGATGGGGCAGGGAGGGGAGGGGCGAGTCGGAGTCACGCGTGGGGGAGGGAAGGAGTCACGCGCGTCGCGTGTTGGGGAGCGGCTGGCCATGGGCCACCGGGTGAGCGTGGGCGAGCCGCGGCCGCCGCTGCTACCCCCGCAAGGGCGGGGCGGCACGACGATGGGCGAGGGAGACTGGGAGGCGTACCGGGCGGACAAAAAACAGATGTCACTCGAGCAGTGAAGAAAAAATGGAGCGGGGGAGATAAATCGAACCGTGGCCGTGGAGGGAGGTTCTGAGTCACATACGGGTGAAAGGTCTTAATATGGCTAGAGGGGGGGTGTGAATAGCCTATTTGAAATTCTACAAATCAACTAGAGCAATTTGATTAGTAAGACAAATAGCGAAATGCAAACTTGCTCTAGCTCTACGAGGGTTGCAACCCACCTATCTAATAATTCTAGTTGCAATGATTACTAGACACACAACTTGCTATGATACTACTCACTAAGAGCTCTCAATCTTACTACACTAAAGAGCTCCACTAGATGAACTTAAATAACAAATCAAGCTCTCAATTCTAATTACACTAAAGAGTTTGTCACCACTAGTTTGCAAGAATATAAAAGAGTGAGTAGGGTGATTATACCGCCGTGTAGAGGGATGAACCAATCACAAGATGAATATGAAATCAATCACCGAGAGAATGTCAAATGGAAAGAGACAACCGATTTTCTCCCGAGGTTCACGTGCTTGCCAACACGCTACGTCCCCATTGTGTCGACCAACACTTGGTGGTTCGGCGGCTAAGAGGTGTTGCACAAACCTCGTCCACATGATTGGACACCACAAGAACCTACCAACAAGTGAGGTAACTAAATGACATGAGCAATCCACTAGAGTTACCTTTCGGCGCTCCGCCGGGGAAGGTACAAATCCCCTCACAATTACCGTAGATGGCCACAAACAATCACCAACTCGTGCCAATCCTCCACCACTGCACCAAGCCGTCTAGGTGGTGGCAACCACCAAGAGCAACAAGCAAAATCCGCAGCAAAACACGAATACCAAGTGCCTCTAGATGCAATCACTCAAGCAATGCACTTGGATTCTCTCACAATCTCACAATGATGATGAATCAATGACGGAGATGAGTGGGAGGGCTTTGGCTAAGCTCACAAGGTTGTTATGTCAATGAAAATGGCCAAGAAGGTGAGCTTGAGCCGGCCATAGGGCTTAAATAGAAGCCCCCACGAAATAGAGCCGTTGAGCTCCTCACTGCACTGAACACGGGCCGACTGGACGCTCCGGTCATATTGACCGGACGCTGGACCTTAGCGTCCGGTCGTGCGATGTGCGCCACGTGTCATCGGCTTCAAACGCCAATCACCCGATTTCAACGGTCAAGTGACGATCGAACGCGTTAGTTAGAAAGTGACCGGACGCTAGATCTCAGCGTTCGGTCGTTTACAGTAAGGTTCCAAACGTGACATTTCATGATCGGTCATGTTCGACCGGACACACCCTGCGTCCGGTCACTGAACGTTTCCTCTGTGCGCCTCATGTCAGCATACGTCAGCACTAACCGGACTTAGTGAAAGGTCCTAATGGCTAGAGGGGGGGTGAATAGCCTAATAAAATTCTACAACAACACTTAACAAAATATGTTAGACAATATTGCGGCGAAGCGAGTGTTGCGCTAGCCTACTAAAATGCAAGCCACCTACCACAATTCTATTTTGAATAGTGTATGTCCACACAATAGCTATGACACTTAGCTAAATTAGTGTGCTCTCAAAGACTAACTAAAGAGCAACACTAATCAAACAAACAAGCTCTCACAACTAGCTACACTAAAGAGCTTGATAACTAGTTTTATGATAATGTAAGAGTGAGCAAGAGAGTTATACCACCGCCCGTGTAGTGGTAGGAACCAATCAATCACAATAATGAATACCAATGTAGACCAATCACCTCGAGAATCAAATGATGAACACAATGATTTTTACCGAGGTTCACTTGCTTTTGTAAGCAAGCTAGTCCTCGTTGTGGACGATTCACTCACTTGGAGGTTCACGCGCTGATTGGCATCACTCGCCAAACCCTCAATAGGGTGCCGCACAACCAACACAAGATGAGGATCACACAAGCCACAAGCAATTTACTAGAGTACTTTTGGCGCTCCAGCGAGGAAAGGTCAAGAACCCCTCACAATCACCACGATCGGAGTCGGAGACAATCACCTCGTCCACTCAATGATCCTTGCTGCTCCAAGCCATCTAGGTGGCGGAAACCACCAAGAGTAACAAGCGAAATCCATGACAAAACACAATCACCAAGTGCCTCTAGATGCAATCACTCAAGCAATGCACTTGGATTCACTCCCAATCTCACTATGATGATGAATCAATGATGTAGATGAGTGGGAGGGCTTTGGCTAAGCTCACAAGGTTGCTATGTCAATGAAAATATGCAAGAGAGCTCCCTTGAGCCGGCCATGGGGCTATAAATAGAGCCCCAGTGAAATAGAGCCGTTGTACCTCTTCACTTTGGCTGCAACGCAGGGGTGACCGGACGCTCGGTCCGATTGACCGGACGCTGGCCCTCGGCGTCCGGTCCACGTGATTCACGCCACGTGTCCCCCGCTTCAAATGCTGTTCGTCGATTTAAGCGGTCATGAAAGTTGACCGGACGCTCAGTAAAAGCCCGGCCGGACGCTGGAGCCACTGTCCGTCCGGCCGAATCTGATGAAGGGTCCAAATCCATTTTTCTTCGACCGGACGCGTTCGGTCCACCTTGACCGGACTCAGCCAGTGTCCGATGGTATACCCTAGCCACTGTACCGCCGAGTCAGCGCGACCGGACACTGGCAGTTAGCGTCCGGTGCTTCTGGATTCAGCGTCCGGTCACTGGACCGACGCCAGCATCATTTCGATCAACTCCATTTCAACTCTTACTTCTTCACCCTTGCTCAAGTGTGCCATCCACCAAGAATTTTGCATCCGGCGCAATAGAAAATAGACATTTCATTTTCCCGAAAGCGCCGAATGTGGTAGCATATTTACACAAATATTATCAAGGGTGTTAGCACTCCACTAGATCCTAAATGCATATGCAATGAGTTAGAGCATCTAGTGGCACTTTGATAACCGCATTCCGA